AATCATTGTCATATTTTCCAGAAGAGATGCTCTTTTACTTAATCTACAATGTATTTTTCAAAGGTCTATCCAATAAGGAAACAACTCAGCCAGAACATGTTCTTCTTGAAAACTAATGCCAATCATTGAAATGGCTCACAACACTTCCTGAATGCTTTATTAAACTAGATTTATAGGAGCTCTAATTATCTGTCAACTAATGAAAAATTAGTCACTTAGAGATTAATTAATCAATATGTGCAAATCACACTGGAAATGATAAATGTTTTCACAAAGAGAAAGAATGAATCCTACTCAAAAGGATGCTCATTCATTATCTTCCTTTCAGGATTCTCCACATGACAGTTTCTCAACTTGTAAAGTCAGACTGCTGGGATGTAATTGCCATCAGTTTTCAGTAATCATCTATAGTCAACATATCTGCTCTAACTATTAACTAAAATTTAATTTCTTAATTTCTTCCTTTCACATCTTTATTTTGCCCAACCCACGCTCTTGTCCCAGCCCACACTCATCTATATCAATTACTCATACCATGCTGTGATTTTAGACTCTTTATATGACAAAGTTAGTTTGAGTCTGCATTGGTTGAAAAGCTAAATCACAAATTACTTACTTTTTTTTTTTAATTCACTAGACTGCATTAAGTACTTTGGGCAATTACTGTAAAGGAAAATAAACAGATTGGCACTATTTTAAGTTAAATGTCCCCAAACCTTAACTTAAAAAAAAAGATTTCAGATATGCAGAACTTCAGGAAATTTTTAAATATTTCTCACAAATCTTGAAAAGATAGTTGTTTACTTACCTACATAATTTGATTGAGATCACTAAGTAAATTTCAATGATCAAAAAAAATTCTCATATTTATCAACTGATCTTTGAATTTTTGCTATCTTGAAGTTATTTCTTTAACTTTCCTGCATTCATTTATAGATTCAGTGAGTATATACTGGATGTCGACATTGTGTCACACATGATTCTAGACAAGAGGGAGCTGTGAATGAACAAAAGAACCAGTCTTTAAGAAGCTTACATTTGGTGGGGCCTCCCTGGTGGCGCAAGGGGTTAAGCACAGCACTGTGAAGCTATCCACAGCCTTTGCAGCACGAGTTCGATACCCGGCCTACCAGGGAGCTACCCACATGGCACAGCAGACCTCTCCAGCCTCTCCTGCTGCTCCCCTCAGCAGTGTATTTCAGTCTGCCTGTTCTGTGTCCCACTCTGTCTCTGATGAATCCTCTCACACCCCGCCCCCGCACCTCTGGCCTGTACCCCAGTTCTTGTATGCATAAATAAATAAATAAAGCAGCTTACATTTGGGGAAGGTAGAGAGTAATGGACAATTAAAGATAAATCTAATAAATAGGAAATTATTTAGAATGTTATACGGTAACAGATGATAAGTTATAGTAGGGTAAAAGGATGTGAGTGATTTGGAGATTTTTGACCCAATAATCCTAAACAGGTCATTAGTTGGAAACATTAAAAGGGGACCTGTGTCTGTTTTCCAGGGAACCCGAGAGGAAGGATACACAGATCCTGCTATGGCGGCTCAGGATGCAATGGTAACTAGAACCAGCTTTCTCATTAACTCTGAATTACCTTTGTGAAGCTTGTCTGGGGTGGTTTTGATGCAACTTCCTGCCTGTGTGATGTTTCAGGTCCTATGGGAAGCCTGTCAGCAAAAGACAGGGGAACACAAGACCATGCTGCAGATGATCCTATGTAACAAGAGCTACCAACAGCTGTGGCTGGGTAATTACTCATTGGGTCTTCTGAGATGATAACATAATAAAAAGCAAGAATTTACCTGGGAGGTGGGGTGGGAAGGGGAGAAATGTTGCCTAGAAATAGAAGAAAGTCAATTATCATAAAGGTACTTACTTTGAATTATATTTATACAGACATACCTCAACTAATGGCATTACTCAGAAACAAAGTTTCTTTACAGCTTTATTTTTTTCAGTAACTGAATTATATAACCTTTAAATGGACCTTTTTAAAAAAGCTGTCCTTGTTATTGATGGAGAATTTAAGTATCTTAGCTATTGTCAATGAAGTCTATTACATGTTGTCGTGAAGGAATATAGTTTCACCCTACTGTTATAGCCAAGGTCACTATTATAGCCATCACAGTTTATGCCATGCTGCTCTTTGGTTTCATGTTAGTTTCCATTTTATCTGACTTTCCTAAACTGTTATACATTTATATTTAAAAAATGAAATTTTTTTGTTTGATTCACATATATAAAATGCACAACAGTTTGTTAAAGTTTTAAGAGGATGGCCTGCCACAACCCAACCTCCACTCTTAAGCTTTACTTACCTTCACTATGTAATCTAAACAATACTTGTCTTTTCACTTTAAAATATTTACAAAATCTTCATTCACTTATGTCACTTTGCCAAAGTTTTCCAGGAATTTCAAAGTATTTCTGGTCAAGACATTGTAGATGCCATAAATGAATGTTATGATGGATACTTTCAAGAGCTTCTAGTTGCAATTGGTAAGTAATAATTTACTTGTTGTATAGCACACCTTTTATTCTGCAGTAAATGTTGACTGACTCTAATTGAATTAAAGATGAATAAGTTCTTGATCGAGTCACTTTACCCTGAATTTAATTATTTAGAAGCAATGCTAATTCTAGAGGAAAGTACATCAACTACAGAAACAATTCACCAAATTGGTAACTTGAAACTTTAATGAATTAATACGCTGTCCCCATGGTTGATTCAGCATTTATACTAGGATATATCGACTTCTCTGATATTTTTTCTCAGGTAATTGGGATCTCATCCTATTAAATTCATTTTATATCTATGGCTTCCATTCCCTTGTTCAAGAGCAATAAGTGCTATAATGTGGCTTCCTTTCCTCCAGGAGGAGAAGTACTTTTGTCATCACCACTAATAAATTTGTCTTCAAAGGTAAATGTTAACATAAAAGAGAATTACCAAACTGTGTTTAACAGTGTCTCTGCAGGCTATTGTGAGAGAAGCACATGTCCTGCTTCTTCCAAATTAGGGAAAGGTATCATTAAACAAGTATTTCAGGGACTACAAATGAAGAGTCATTGTGGAATATTCCCCTAGTAGAAACATGTCAAGCAATCATTTAAAAACTTGTTGGACTGGGCCTCCCCTGGTGGCGCAGCGCTTGAGCGCCGCGCTGTGAAGCTGCCCACAGCCTCTGCAGCACTGGTTCGATTCCCGGCTGCCAGCAAAAGTCCCACATGGCAGGACAGACCTCTCCTGCTGCACCTGCTGCTCCCCTCAGCACTGTATTTCGTCAGTCTGCCTGTTCTGTTCCCCGCTCTGGCTTTGGTGAATTCTCTCACCCTCCTGCACTTCTGACTGTACCCAGCACTTGTATAAATAAATAAATAAATCTTTTTAAAAAAGAAAAATACTTGTTGGACAAAGGAATATTATGATTTTCCACTCCTCAAATGGTATAGACATATCTACCATTACAGTTTATCTCATAAAAGATTTTTGATATAGGGTTCCGTGAAATCCCTAAAATACTAATATAATTGAATATCTGTATATTTTTCTGAGAAAAAAGCTACCTGTATTTTGGCAAATTCTCAATATAGTTTAATAATCATGTTAATCAAAACCCTTTGTTTTACACACAAGATTCCAAAGTCTATCAGTTATTTAGTAACAAGTTTACACTAGGCTCCATATTATGTGAACCTCGAGATAGCTCTCTTTTCACTATACACTGCTCTTACAAACAAAGCAATGTACATGACAGAAGAAAATAATGGACGTCAGAAATACCAGGAGGAAAAAAAGAATATAATCCTTTAAAAATAATGAAATAAAAATTACCAAAAAATATTATCAGGAAATATTTTTTCTGGTTCATTCACTCAATGAACAAACATGTATTGACATATCCTATTCTGGTCATTGATTTAGGTGCTACAGATGGAACAGTAAAACCAACAACAAAGCCCCTGTTTTTAAGGGACTTTCTACTGCTTCCTGGAGGAACTGATAAGTGCTTGTGAAGTTCAGAATATTATAATAAAGATTTAAAGTGAAGGCATAGTCTCACAATCTGAAATAATCATGTGAACTATAGAGAAAATGCTATTATGATGATTTTGTTTTGACTTGAAATTATAATTTTGCATTTATTATTCATTTGTTATTTACTTATTCATATAATCACGGTTGAATGTCTAGAATCATCAACTGACTTTCACCAAAGACAGTGGTTTACTAGACTCTAGGCTATTCTATGTCATAGTTTTAATTAGACTTCTAAGATGCTCCAAAACAGTTGTGGTCTACACAGTTTCTCCTTAAGAGACCTCAATTCTAGTCACAAGTCTACACGGGACTTAAAATAGCATTTGGAAAGATTAAAAAATTGTACAGGAATATGTTACATTGGATCCTGTATTAACAAAATCTTTACTGATGATCGTAAGCTGGATCTCTTTGAACCTCTATTTAATGTTCAGATAAAGAGGACACATTTTTCTTCAGTAGCTGCTAAGAGTATTCCAACTGGTAGCAATAGACTGAACGCATATATGAATGAATCATTATATTGTAGCTTTATGTTTTTTCTATAGGCTATGGTTTTACCAATTATCCTAATTGTTGAGGTTTTAATGTAATCTACAATGAAGCACTCCATATAGAACTCACAAAGAATCACTCTTCCAGAATTGAAACCGAAAAAAAAAAATTTCTCATTCTTCTCCAAATTCTGAATGATATATTGTTACTTTCAACTTTCTTTATTCTGATTTTTTTCCTAGTTCTCTGTGTTCGAGATAAACCAGGTTTCTTTGCTTATAGACTACATAGTGCAATACATGTAAGTATGACTCACATATTTATTAAATGTCTCCAGAAATCAAATCTAATTTCTTAAAGGACTAATTTTGCTTCCATTATTTAAATATTGATTTCTATATTCGAACTTATATGCAAACATAGTCATTTCAAAGAAATATGAAGTTTTCAAAGAAAAATGTGTTATACACTAAAAATTAGAGCTATAAAATAAAGACAACACTGTTTTTTTTAATCAAATTGAAGTATGATTCCTTGGGACTTATATCTGCTTTAGAATCTGTTAACATCTGAAGAAACTTTGGTAAATCCAAATGTTTTTGTATATTGTCAGACTCCTGTCTATCTCACACTTATTAGGCAGATATATAACATATGGTGTCAAGCAAAGAATGTCAAAACAACAAGCTCTCAGCCTGAAATTGCTACATTCCTGAAGTTTAAAAACACAAAATAATAGCAATGGCTATTTTTAAACAAAAAGTGTTATTTTAAAAAATACTTTAAAAGAGATAGCTAGAAAACAATAAACTCTAAAGTTATTTTTGTTATTAGATGAGAATATTTTTCATAGTTCAGTGGGATAGTCAATCACACATCCTTTGGTACATTTATTTTAAAGAAACAAATACTTAAATGCATGAACAATGTACACCTTATCTACAATGTGCATGAAATATAATTAAAAATGGAAAGATCTGATAATGATGATATATGTTATAACCTTTTACATGTGTCATAACCTTAAAAAACCAAAGAAAATATTATAGAAATTTCAATAGCTCACTAATTTTAATAATGTTTTATCCTTAAAGTAGTTTTTACAGACCAGCTTCTTCAGAGAAACCAGCATACTGAGATAACATGCTAGTTGTCTAAAATGTATTATGTATCTTTCATAAAGAGTATTTTTTTATTTATGTATAAGAACTTAAACATTGTCAGAACACAGACAAAATATCATGCTCACAGTCTTCTGTTAATCTTTATCCTATTTCCAAGTAGAAAAAGTCAATTTTGTTTAAAATATATATAATTATTCAAAGCTACACCTTGTTGACTATGCGTATATGGCAATGCAAAAAGGAAGATATATGAGACTCACAAATGGTTAGAAGGTAAAGGGGAGGATAATATAATCAGTCCAATTTTTTATATATGAGGACCTCAAATGGAAAGATTGGCCAAAAGCTGTTTTACCTCCCCAAATCATAGAAAATACCATTTTGATCTCCAATATAGTCCAGGAAAAGCATATATAACTTAAATATGGAAACTTAGACATTCATTTTAATCCCTTCAAATTATGAAAAGTTAATAAGTCTATATGTAAAACACTGATTAACAAAGATTAGGTTTATGCTTACTGGCCACCAGATGTCACCAATACCCCATGTGAAAAGATAATTTGAAATTGTAAAGCATATTCCTTCTGAAGCTTGTACACAGCAATTGATTTTTGTAAATTTCATATTTGAGCTTGAAATCCAAGAATATTTCATGTATGGGGAAGGCTTATTTTTACAGTTTTTGAAGAATAAAAATATAAAACAAAAATGCAATCACCGTTTTACTCAGTGATTTCAATGTTCATCTAACAAAGATTGGAATTACCACTCCCCACCCTCTGAGGAAGACTCCACCTGGCAAGAGGATATGATCAGATTTCCACTTTATAACACAGTGCAAAGGAGATGGTGTGAAAGTTGACAAGGCTAGAAAAGGTGGCAGAATTGCTGCAAGTTTAAGGTCAACATCAAGTCTATGAGACTGAATATAGGCATTTAAGTGATACAGTAAAGAGAATGCTTCATTGTGTACCTAGTAAAGAAAGTAGGTACAGAAGTGACTCTCAGAATCCAATTTGGGCATTCTGGGATGCTGGTGTTTGAGGGATACAGGAGCAAATTGTTACAGAATACGTCTATTTTAGGCAGACTCACTTTAAAGTATATGTGGTTTTCTCATTTTTCCTGTATTTTGTAATTTTCAGGACTTTGGTTTTCATAATAAAACAGTAATCAGGATACTGATTGCCAGAAGTGAAATAGATCTGATGAATATAAGAAAGCGATACAAAGAGAGATATGGAAAATCCCTATTTCATGATATCAAGGTAAGTCTCCTATAAGTGATTTATTTTGACCCACATTTTATCCTTTTTGATTCTGAAACAAAAACTTTAAATAATTTCATATCAGACTCTTAAAATTTTTATTATCTAACATATATCTTTTTAAATTAATAATTCAATTTATAATAGCATCAGAATAAATAAAAGACATAGGAATAAATTTAACAAAAGAAGTATAAACCTTAAAATAGAATTTAAATTTGTCAAAAGACTCCCTCGATTTAACTCAGTTTCTGAAAACATTTACATTGAGTTGCCTAGCTTGAGGTTTAGTTATAAAATACATAAAATTCCATTAGTTTATGTACTCTGAATTTCTGAAGACACAAAATCCTAACAGATATCTTTTAAGTTAGTACAACAGTCAGCCTTTAGTGCATCAGCAAGTTCCAATGGAGGAAATCCCTTCATCAATGATAGAACTCATTCTTCTTTGACACGCTTTAAGTAAAAATTTTTGAGGTAATTATAGAAAATATTCATCCCCTGGCTGTAGAATTGTGCCTCATGAGTTAAATTCTGAATTATCATCAGAGTAAGGAGAGATGCATTTTATGGGTACTATTGGGAAGAGATTTCTCAAATCAGTTCAGCAGCCCTTTCTTAGCATCAGACAAGGTGGGCCAGCTAGTCAAATCACAAAAGAGATAAATTGGAGAGTTTAATACGGAGAATGATATAAAATTCTACCTATTCCTCTCCCTTTAGCACTTGAAAGGCAAAGACGCAATTATTCAGAAGTAAAAAAAAAAAACAATTTTTTTCATTCTAATACTTTTAAACTTTACTCTGGATTTTTGATAAAACCGAGTAAAGAAATATCAGACTATAAAAGTTCATTGATATAATTTTAAAGACCCAGAGGAAAATTAAAATACTGAACCCTTTTTCAAAAAATTGTAAAGAATTTCATGATGGCAACAGCAGAGCATGAAATCAAACACAAAGACCTGAGAGTACATCTTACTTTGTATTTTGCATACAGCTAAGTGCTATTACTTGTTCACATTGTTTTCCATTGAAATTTTCAATTTTATAAAAGTGTGGTAAACTTAATATATTATATACACATGTTGACACACCTCAAATTTATATAGTGTTATGATGTGATGTTACTACTGAAAGAATGCTTTCTAGTTTATTGAAAGAGGGATCCAGAAGCAATTCAACAACCCAAGGATCAAGAGGACACAAAGACCAGAAGATCTGACAGACTCCTGCATACTCAAAGTAGCTTCACATGAAAGAATTGAAAGAATATTACCCATTCAGATTTGATAAATCTCTCCTTATATCTGTCTTCAAAGCTGTAAATTTTTAGTGATGATAAACACCGCTCATTGGAAAATGCGTATCATAACTTGTTTTCTAAATGAGTAGTCTAATAGATATACTGCCCTCAATCACAGCCACTAGTATTTACATATAATTAATGAACACTACTATGTGAATTAAAGCAGTGAATTATAATTATATAACTTTGTGTAACAGAACATTAATATGATAGTTCATTGTTAACAAATACATTTTATAATTCCATTTATTACTATATTTATTTTGAAAAACTTTTTAACCATGGAAGACCATGAAAATTAAAGAAAATTGCTCTAATTCTCTAGCACAGATAACCAGTAATAAAATTTGTTATAGTTGCTTTCTGTCCATTAAAATATATCTAAAAATTAATATGTTTACTACTTAAAGGAATATTTTTATTAAATCATGGTTGTATAAATTATAAAAAGTGCATAAACTGCCCCACCTATTTAGATATTATACTTTACCTTTTCACTATTACATATATTATGATATACATTTTTTAGCATAAATCTGTGTGCTTATCAATAATTGATCATTATTAGAATATATTTCTTGAAGTAGAATTGCTACATTGACTATAAAAACAAATCTTTTGAGGCAAATGTCAACTTGCATCTAGGTAATATGCTGATTTACAGCAATGTTATAAGGACACCTCTTTCTAAAGTTGAGGAGAAAATTTAATTCTACTGCAGATTATTCTTATAAATATACAGTAGGATCCAATCAGCTTTATATAAAACCCATTCTATTGACTATAACCATAGTATTATTTTTCAATAAATACCAGTGGGAACAGTTCTCAGGACATATTAAATCTTTAGATGAAAAAAGTAAATAATTTTGGAAAAGCTAATGACACATAGGTCTTTCAAACTGTAGTTCAGATGAAATTGTTTCTTTTTTTAGAAACACTATGACATTTTATTTCAAATACATTGTATTTTTTCTTTTCAGAATTTTGCTTCAGGACATTATGAGAAAGCTCTGCTTGCCATCTGTGCTGGGGATGCTGATGACTACTAAACTAAAACAAAGAGTTAGGGGACTGTGCTTTATAGACATGTCAAAATATAGATTTTGTGATAAATTTGCATTCTTAGTTGCATTGGAGCAAAACTATAGAATCATGATTTTTCTCTTATCTTTAAAATTATTCTAAGCCAAAGAAAAAAATCTATAAATAAATGTATGACTGGATTTTCATTTATTATTTAATCAGAAATTCATTAAATTGTATATAAGAGAATAACAAAAAATGTTTTTGGAATGTATTTTATTTAAATGTGAACCACTGATTTCCTCTAAAAGAATCTGCTTACAGCTACAGGTATTCTTAGCATGCTTTGAAAGACCAAGGAAAGCACACCTTGAGTCCATCCCTCCTAGAGGTATTTTAAATTGTACAAATGCAATAAAACTAAAGTGGATATCTAAAGCTGTCTCTGAAATAAAGATGCAAAACAGCAAAATCCAGTCAGATATATGCCTGTCAGACTTTGATATATAGGTGACTTGTATAGAAAAATAGGGTGGGTGTGTGTGTATGTGTGTGTGTGTGTCCATACACACATTCAACAACTGCACTATTAAAGGCAATTTATCTCTAGCTAGTTTGTGTGTGCGTGTCAGTGCCTAACTAACCACCTGCCCATGCAATGAGAGAAAAGTAATTTCTCATTGTTAATATCTTCACTCCTTATCATCAACATCAAGTCTTTTGGAAGTTATTACATGCTTTGTGTCATCAGTAAAGCTTGGTCCTATATGTGTCTCAAGATTCAATTAATTAAGTACTGCAAAGGAAAATTACTCACTGAGGTCTGATTTGGGAGCAAATCCACATTGATGCCCAAATTTAACCAAGAATTAAAGCAGAGAAAGTGTCCATTGAGTTCACAACAGAAGGCTCCCAATACAAACAAGTGGAAACACAAAAACTGAGATCATAGGAAGGCAGTGGTTAGTAAAGGCAGGCAAGGAAAATGAAAACACATATGCAAAAAATCTAGAGGAACTAGTGAAGTTGATAGAAGTTCTTTATACCACAGGAAATAATTTTCAATAATCTGCAATTCAGAACTTTTATCTGCTTCTAACGGTCTCAGGAGAAATGAAAAGGTAATCAGAACTGAATGAATGATACAAGATTTTTATTGCTTTTATTGTGATTAGCCCCAACATGAAATATTCAAGAATAATTAAATTTTTCAAATTACTTTCAAGAATCCAACCAATTGCTATGATCCTTATCAATGTGCAATGGAATATTATATTAAATTAGGTTTAATTTCTATCTTTAAAAAATTCACCAAACCAAAACTTGCAATTGTTTGAGACATTTACAAAAGTTATTATACCAGCTAAAATTCTTACAATTAAAATGTTACTATTCTTGTTGAGAATTTAGATATTTAAATAAAACTTTCCACACGAGGACATACATCTATAAGTTGTTCAATAAATAGTGAAATATATGCTTCAGCAAATTAATACATTTTATTTCTTTGGCACAGCATGAAAATCAATTCAAAAATAAATCTTAACTTAGATCAGGAGAGGCTACTGCAATAAGTGGAGAGGTCTGTTGCTATAGGAAAAAGAGGGCCTAATAATAGAACTAATACAATAGAAAGAACAATATAACTATGTCCTTAGAAGTTCCTTATCAACTTTTCCCTTTTTCTACACACTGAAAGGCACAAAATAGTCAAAACAAAAAATAGGCAAGGCAAAAACACATAATAGTTGAGGCCCACAAAAAGGGAGGTGCATTTCTTGACCAGCTCAGTTTTTGAGGAGCTCAATACCACGGGACTGTTTAACTTTGTCAATATTTTTTTTTTTTCACCAAGGTTGTTTCCTGAATTTTTCAATTAGTTGTTGAAATGCCAGCACAACATTGTTGTCTTCTTTTGTACCTAATTTTTCTAGGGAAACCCTGTAAAAGAATAAATGCCTAAATTAACGTTGCTATTTATGCATGAGGTGCTGTTGCTTCAAATACAAGAAATAATTACTACACCTGATGGACTGAAGAACAATTGTAAAGTCTTTGACTGAATTGAAGGCGTCTCCCATATGTAAGCTGTGTGGGGTGGGGGAGGGAAACAAAATAACATTTAAGAAAATAATTAATTACCACTGTATTTCTGACCTTACCAGAGACAAAATAAACAAGATATGAAGATTACAAAGGAGTGTTCACGCCACTATTTTACAATTGTCAATTTAGTCCTAAACTAGTAAGAAGGCTAATCATTTGACTAAAAAATTTGACTTTAATGTTCTTTTATAGCAGCACATTATTGCACGTTATTATTACCCCAGTTATTCAATGCAAAAATAAAGAAGAAAAAAAAAAAAAAAGAAACAGAGAACAGATTGGCACTTGCTAGAGAATGGGAGAAGAAAGGAATAGGAGTTACTGTTTAATGGGTATAGACTTTCCCTTTAGGTTAATGAAAATATTTAGTAGCTAGAGGTGATGGCTGCACACTATGAGTACAGCAAATGTCACTGAATTGTTTACATTAAAATGGTTAATTTCATGTTATGTGAACATCTCAGTAATAATTAAAAAGCATATAAAATAGTTCCAAATAAATTATATCCTAGTAACTCATCTTAAACTATTGCTTCTTAATATTACTCTCACAAATCATAATGCCACATCATAACAAACATTCATTGTACAAACACACATATATTAAAATATATATCAAAACAGAAAAATCCATACCAATTACCCTCAGTCAGTTCAAAGAGGGAACCACATCTGTAGAAGTTCAATAAGTATGCGTTCAATGGATATTTTCTTCCAGTACTATCATATTTATTCAAGCGAAACAAAGGAATGTTTCTTACATTCACATTAATTGTTCGTAACATAACCTGAGGATACGCAGAGATTTTAGATCGTTAACATTTTTCTATTGATATACACCCTAATCTATTGTAAAATTTGATTATAATGCCGTAGTACATCTACATCTAGCTACTCAAAAAAAATAACCCAGTATGTTAGGGAAGTATAGTCAAATATTCAAAAAATACATTTAAGTTCTTCTGTCTTTGGGCCTCCCTGGTGGTGCAAAGGGTTAAGTCTCAGCACTGTGAAGCTATCCACAGGCACTGCAGCACCAGTGGATTCCCGGCCAGGGAGCTGACCCACATGATGCAGCTGACCTCTCACCCACTGCTCCCCTCAGCAGTGTATTTCAGTCAATCTGCCTGTTCTGTTGCCACTCTGTCTCTGGCGAACCCTTTCACCCCCTGGACCTCTGGCCTATACCCCAGTTCTTATATGCATAAATAAATCTAAAAAAAGTTCTGTCTTTAATATAAATCACCAAAAAAATCAGTTAAAAAAAATCAAACCAAACACATTTAAACTATTTTTGAAATCACAGAAATATTTCTAATTAACTCAACTGTCTGAATTGTCACTTTTATAACCCTCAAACTATAATTTTGTAAAACCATTTTTTTCTGAAAAACTATTTTTGAGTTTACAGACATATGTCAACAGCTATACATAATGTAATAGTGCTTGCTCTTTCCATTTCCATAAACATCTTTTTTTCTATTAAACTGCCTTTAGGAATACAATGATCTGATTTTGGCAATAACATAATCACAATCATTAGAATTTATTTCCCATCAACATATCATAGATAAACTGTGAGGGGTTAGTGTCACTACTGCCAAGCATGAGGCAGTAAATGAAGTGATTCATATACTAGTTTTAGAAATTAAAGTGTTCAATATATATTTATTGAGCATCTTTGTTTTCTTTTTCTCTAAGTATAATGTATTATGACATTATATGAGCTACACATATGCATCACTATAAATCAACATCTGTATATACTACATTAACCTCACCACTAAAAGTCTAATTCTATCCTTAATCATGTGATTGTCTCCTTTCACTCTACCATACACCACCATTAGATGGGCAGAAAGGGGGAAAAATACAAACTGTCCTCAAATGGTTTATAGCACAGCTTATGATACATTACTGTGCACTCTAAACTAAATTATTTTGAGATGACTCCCAAGATGAAGCATATCCAGCAGATGATATTGAGTTGCTGATATATGGTTCACATTTTGAGTTGCAAAGGCTTACAATACAATGATTCATAGAGAAAGACATGATTCATTCACGAAGGCTAATTGAGAAACTAGCATTATTTTCTTTATCTAATTCAATTTGTCTATTATAAACTATTCACATATTTTTAAAGATTTGTTTTCCTACTTCAGTGGAAATTAATACTATTATGGATTAAGAGTAACATGGTTTTGTTTCACTGAGACAAATATAATCATGTGAAAATGATTTCTCTTAAGTAAATAAACAGGACAAAAGAAAAGGTTCATATCAAAATTCACTTACATCACTTATTATATTAATATCAAATAAATCTTGGTCAGTTATGTTGGACAAACATGCAAAAGGGGAAACAGCAGTTCTGCTTTCAGTCCCAGGCATTAAATGAGAGACCAGTTCAGACTCTTCACATCCTTCACCTGAAAATTCTAATAAAAATACATTGGAAAATCAAATTAGAAATTATTTGAGGGGCCTCCCCTGGTGGTGCAGCGGTTGAGCGCTGGGCTGCGAAGCTGCCTACAGCCTTTGCAGCGCTGGTTTGTTCCCCAGCCACTGGCGAGGGTCCCACATGGCACGCAGACCTCTCCTGCCACGCTTGCTGCTCCCCTCAGCAGTGTACTTTGTCAGTCTGCCTGTTCTGTTCCCTGCTCTGGCTCTGGTGAATTCTCTCACCCTCCCATGCTTCTGACTGTACCCAGTGCTTATATAAATAAATACTAATAATAAATAAATAAATAAATAGAAATTATTTGAAAACTGCATCCCCATAAATATAAAATATTTAAAACAAATATATTTGCTTATACCTTTATTCCATCTTTGGGTGAACAATTATCCTCCCTATCATAGAAATCATACAAAGAAAGATAGAGACAAATGATAATTATACTCATTCTTTCAAGTT